CTATATCTGGTAATCTGAGCAACAAATTTGATGATACAACTGTGTAGTATAAACAATTAACAATTGTTAATTTTGTATTCCTGTTTTGAAATACCATATATTTTTTGTTTTATGTTGCTTTGAGTTTTTGTTTGTTTGTTTGTCTTTGTCTTTGTCCTTGTTATTTGTTGTTTTTTGTTTTGTTTTGCTCTTTAAAATAAAAAATAAATAAAGGGATGTCTATTTTTCCTCTTGTATTTCAGATGGGGGACTCAATGTCAAATTCTCTTGCTTCTTTGGAATGTATTCTTAATCACCAAAAATTGTTCAACCCTTACGTGTTGAGGACGAGCTGTTCAATATTTTTCTGTACCTGCACATGACCTGCCTATGCTTTAGAGACAAAATGAAACACAGAGGGAAGTGTTGACTATGAGACTGTTTCACAACTAGAATTGTACTATAAAGGGAGGGAAAATGGTCAAAATTACCTTATGTTCATACATTCTTTGCATCAGGACATAATCTTGCAAACACCTGACGTCAAGGTGACACCACCAAACCTCACCCAGAGTCATGCATGTAAACCAACCAGAGTGGTAGCAACAGAAACACCATATCATCAGGAGCAGTGATCCGGAAGGAGTGCAGGGTGATGCTGGCTGCAGCGACCCAGTGACAGTAGGAGAAGTATCCAGTTTAATAAGTTGACATCATGCATGAGTATAAGTTAGTTGTTCTTGGCTTAGAGGGCATTGGGAACTCTGCTCTGACTGGACAATTTGTTCAAGGAATTTTTGTTGAACAGTATGACCCTACAGTAGAAGATTCTTATAGAAAGCAAGTTGAAGTAGATGCACAGCAGTGTATGCTTGAAATTTTGGATACTGCAGGAATGGAACAAATTACAGCAATAAGAGATTTGTACATGAAAAATGGACAAAGCTTTACCTTAGTTTATTCCATCAGAGCACAGTCCGCATTTAATGATTTGCAAGATCTGAGAGAACAAATTTGTTGAGTTAAAGACACTGATGATGTTCCAATGATTCTGGTTGGTTACAAATGTGACTTGGAAGATGAAAAAGTTGTAGGAAAGGAACAAGGTCAAAATCTAACAAGACAGTGGAACAACTGTTCATTCTTAGAATCTTCTTCAAAATCAAAAATAAATGTTAATGAGATCTTTTATGACCTAGCAGATTAACAGAAAAACTCCAGTGCCTGGGAAAGCCCGCAAAAAGTCATTGTGTCAATTGCTTTCATATGCTACATGCATTGTAGCTCTGAGTCAGCTCTGAAGGACTGTTGCCCGATTCAACAGTGCCAGCATTCCAACTTTATTAAGCCTACCAACATCTTAAATGGACTTTCCTCTGGTGGTACTCTGTAAGAGGCGGATGAGAGCTACTCTATCAGTTTGCACGTTCTAATCCCAATATTGCACAGAGATTTTTCCTTATATAATAGTCCTAAAGTATTCAGCTAGTAAAACCAGAGACTACATCCAGTATTACTGCCAAGAGACATTTCTTCATCTGCCAATGTTGCACATGCATGAAAATGGTGTACTGTATGCTTTACTACACCCCATACTTTGTATTGAAGAGTACAGTAATGTAAATCCTAACAGTACCACTATTTTATCCTAATAAAGGAAAGTCCAAAGAGCTCCTATATGGACTAATCCAGTTAACTTTGCTTCTTTGATACCTGTAGCTTATTGTAATTTTTTTAAAAAAATCAAGGTAAGGGGCCGGGGAGATGGCTCAGTAGAATAAACACTTCCCTGGCAAGCGCAAGGGTCTGAGTTCAAGCCCCGGTTCTGCAAAAATAAATAAATAAATAAATAAATAAATAAATAAATAAACAAGGTAATTATTATTGTATTGTACAAAATAACCATTTTGACTAACAGAGCTATGCAATGTTTTAATTTTTCAAAAATGTGGAGACAGTGATCTTGTCCTTAAAATATGATAGTGCTTTCAGTAGAAGGTCTTAGATTAAAGACATTGTCTTTAATGTCTGTTGGGAAGCAAATGTCCAGACTTTTCAATTCCTTATATACATTTCCTTTTTGTTTAAAAAAGGAACAACGTTTATAGTTGTGTATACAGCAGGGTCTAAAACAAGAAATGTATATTTTCAATGATTTAACAATTTTTGTGAATCATTTTCAAGCTTCTGCAGCTGTAGATTCTCACTGTGAATCCCTTGTTTGTTCATGCATAAGTGTATTTGCAATACAAAATATACAGGTTTAGTATATTTGCCTGTTAGTGGTTGTTTCATATGTGTAACATTTTGGTTGAGATGTTAAATGGTGGATGAGTAACTTGGATGTGAATGTGGGAAGTAATTTTAATCATGTGTAATTGGTCATAAGGCCTCATATGCAGTAGCTATTGCTCTTTTATTTAACAATACCTCTCATTGCTTTGTATGCATTAATGTTTGAGTGTAAAGATTGTGTGTCTATCTAGCAGGGAGACATGGTATTTAAACTGACCAATCTAAAGTTACAACTACTTTGAGGTGACCAAATGTAAACTAAAAGTTCTGATTAAAGTGATGCAATTTTGTATAACTTAGCATCAGCAGTTCAATAAATTTGGATTACCATGCAAAGGCTTGCATCATAATTTATGGAAAAAAAAGACAATCTGACTTTTGCTCAAAATGTAAATAGAAGCCACAGAAAAACCAGACACCTCTGGGCCTTACCGCACAATTGCTTGATATCTGTAGCTTATTGTAATTTTTTTAATTAAAAAAAATTCTACCCTTAATCCTAGCTTACATATATTATTACTGAGCCTGGGTTTCCCCTCCTTTCCCCTCCAGACACTGAGGATGAGACTTCTAAGCCAGCCATGACTGAAGCCTTTACTGAACTGTATCCATCCCTGTCTTATTTTTTTCAAGCTCCTCAAGGACACTATCCCTTACAGGAAGTAAGTGGAGAATATGGCATTGCCAATGTCCATGTGTTCTTCTCTCTCAGTGATGTGCAAGTGATCAAGCTAGATCTGAGAAAGTTTTCAGATAACCCTGATAAGTACATTGAGGTGTTTAGGGGTCTTGTTCAGACCTATGAACTAGCCCCAAAAGATGTAATTTTGCTCTTAAATGAAACATTGACTTGTAGTGAGAGACAAATTGCATAATCTACTAGTACATTAGAGATCAATATCATATTGATAATTTTAAAAGGCCAGATCCAGGCCACCAGGGGAATAGCTACTTTTTTACTTGACTTAGTTATTTTTCACATTACTAACAGAAAATGTCCAACGCCCAAAGATAAAAGAGGAAAAGTTTATTTGGCTCACAGTTTAACGAGGTTTCAATTCATAATTTTCTGGCTCCAAGGCAATGTGGCTTAGCAGAGGGCTGTCACAGAGGAGAACAGTTCATGGAGCCCACAGAATAGCAAAAGGAATAAGGGAGGGATGAGGCTCTTTCTCTCCCTAATATTGTATACAGACTACCCATTCTAGAGCAGCTGTAGCACTTCTACCCTTAATCCTAGCCAGAACTATGACAAACCAATCAGTGGACTGATTTACTAATCACACACTCTTGATCCCAGCACCACACACTCTAGATACAGCCACCACTGAAAAGCCTGACCCCCATAACTGCATGGAGCTCTAAGGAGATAACTAGATACAAACCATAATACTGATACAGGGAGAAAAACTGGTCTCAGGTGGGTGACCTCCAAACCATATAGGGAACCTCCAAATGACATAGGGAAAAATGATCTCTGGACCTGACCTGCACAAGTTTGTGTTCTCTAAAACCAAAGAATGAATTTTAGGAACAAACGGAGATTATGAGCAGAATATATTTATTGAGAGAAAGAAAGCTCCTGTTCCGAGAGAGGGACAGGAGGGGGCCCAAGCGGGTAGTTCCCCCGGGGAAGCTGTCTCTTCCAGGGACTTTTATAGTGTAAAACCATGTGGGGGGGGGGAGAGATGGCTTAGTGGAATAAGCGCTTCCCTGGCAAGTGCAAGGGCCTGAGTTCAATCCCCGGTTCCACTAAAAAAAAACATGTGAGGCTAAGGTAGAGAGAATGGGAACTAGCTTAGGTGGGCAGGAGGTGGGACAAAACTATGGTCAACCAATGGGATTACATATGGGACAGGGTCTTTTTCTGTTGGAGGTTGGAATGGGGATAGGGTGTTGGGGGTTGGGCTAGTGACTCACTTGGGTCTTTCCAGGTGATTGATACCTATTTAGAATATCAATCCCAGGTGCTACTCCTTTAGCATTTGTTTGGCCTTTAGGTCTTTAGGTCTGGTTCACAGCAGGAGCATCCGCCCCTCCCACAGTTGTAAGGCATCTCATCTTCTGTGCTGTCTCCTTTGAGGGCCTGGCCCTATCTGACTGCCTATAATATTTTTATCTAACTCGGCTACCTACAATAATACTACTGGAGTCCAAGAAGTTCCTATACAAGATCTCTACTGATGTACAAAACAGACAGGAAATTAGAATAAGGGACATATTCTGACTTGTCTTCCTGAAGCTCTAAGAAGGCTGAGAACTAAACCCTTCGTATAGTTTAAATTGTCAACTATTCATCAGAAAAATCATGAGAACAATTTTGCCTTCCGAAATTGCTTTTTTAAAAATTGTTTATAAGAGGCATTGATAAAACATACAGCCCTGGCTCCTGATTTGATAGAAAGTTAGATTATTCTTAAATACAAGTGTGTTACCCACTCAGCCTTACATATTAGAAAAAACACAGAAGATAGCTTTGCTCTAGGTACTTGATACTTTAGGGAGAATTTCTTTCTCAGTATCTTGTAATTGAGACCACAAGCAGGCCAAGGGGGAACAATAAAGAGAGGAAAAGTAAAAATAAAAAAGCTGCTTTGGTTAAAAGGAATAAACACTAAATTTGATTCTTGGGGCTCAACAATTGAACTTAACTGTTACCACTAAGGAAAGCCAAGTGACCTTAGAAGGAGTCATGATAAAAAGCTGTAATAACAAGAGGCTTATTGAGTCATGCCTTGACTGCAGAGGTGACCAGTAAAAGAAGGACTTCCCCCTGGGATGGAAATCTCAGGGTTCAGAGCCATCTTACCAGTTGGTCCAGTAAGACAGAAAGGCCCCAAGGCACTCTCCACTTTTTCCTTCTGGCTGGATTGTCATCTCCATGGAACAGTCCTGGGTAATTATAACTATAGAGAGACAAGAAACCAGCCTACTGCTGGACACTGATGTATATAGCTCCATCCTTCTTTTTAACCATGGGCTTTCTTCCAACCATCTTACTTCAGTAGAAGGGGGTTATTGGAGAGCAGGTAATTCGCTATTTCTCACAACCCTTGGGCTATAACTGGGATGGCTTTTGCTTCACTCATTCCTTTTTAATTATGCCTGAAAGTCCACTTCTGTTCTTTTTTAAATAATTTTATTGA